TAACAGTTGTATGAGCCCCTAATAAAATGTTTCAAAAAAGATTAAATTACAGAAGTTTCTCTATGCAACTGTATACATGCATACACATTCATAAAAGAGTTAGCTTTTAAGTATTTAATGTATAAAATTTCATGCTACAATTTGGGCAATTTCAAAACCCTCAGCCTAAGTTTGACACTATGAAAACTGTTTGCAAGTTTTACATACTTTCTTGATACATTCATCTATTTTATTGACTATTCTAGCTTCCTTTTTTTTTTATGACTTTCATAAGTGCATTTTTCATAATAATTGATAATTCAGAAGACAAGAAATCTTATATTTCTGATACCTACTCTAGGCTGAAATTATTGCCACCTTTTCTTAAGTGATATTTTTTAAAGTTACCTGTGGAGATCTCTTATGGACAGGAACCCTTGTAAGCTGCCCGTGACAATATGTTCTCCAATTATACATATATCTGATACCTGCTCTTTCAGAATTTGAGACCTTAAGTATGTGCCATTTACAGAAAACAGGTGCAATGTATTCTTATCCTGCAGAGAGAAGATAAAAAAATGATTTCAAATAAAAACTAAGTTTTTACATTGTCAGCCAGGACTATGATTGCAACAGAATGATTATAAGTTTTTTTTTAAAAGGTTTGGAATAAAGCTAAAGTCATTTGTACCCTGAAAAGATATAATTTTATCCACTTAAAAAAACCAAAAAAAAAAACAAGATGATTTAAAAACAAAAAAATTCTATTTTTAAAAAGCTATGTGATTGACAAGGAGCCTTGGTGGTGATGCCAGGTAAGCATGGGCCTGCTAACTATAAGGTCAGGGGTTCAAAACCACCAGGTGCTCTGAGAAAGAAAGATAAGACTATCTGATCCTGTACAGATTTACAGCTTCAGAAACCACAGAAAGGGTCTTTATGAGTCAGAATCGACTCGATGGCAGTAGGTTTTTGGTTTACATGATTGACAGGAAAATAATTATATAAAACCCATAGTTCCTTGATGCCTTGCCTTGTTCAAAATGAATTTATATTGGCCACAGTCTCCACCTATGTTTACAAAGTCCCACATAAACAAAAGTTATTTTTGCAACCATGTTTTATACAGGCCAACAAAAAAACCTAAAATAAAATATAAATGTCAAGATTGTGGCAGAATTCCACCTAAGATTACGTAATAAAAAATTAAATTGTGGCAGGAAAACATCCCCACTTAAAATAGTAATCTTAATTTTCTCAAAACGCCTCATACAGTGTAGGGAAGGCAAAGCAAGCCAAGCTTAACAGATCGTCTAACCTTATCACATGAAGTGTTGCATACCTTGAGGGTGGTCTTTTCTTCAATGCTAGAGTAGACGACAGTATGTCCTTCCCAAGATATAGCTAAACAAGGAATGGTCAGGAGCAGAGCGCTCTCACAAGGTGGTCGTAAAGTCCTCATGTACTGACCTTTCTGAATGGTGTGTATGATCACAGTGCCATCCTAACAAAACAAAGCATTACAAAATGAAAAGGACAAAATAAAAGGTTAGAGAAATAAAAGTGGGTTAGACAAAGCCATGCAGGAACAGAGCAGTGAGATAGATTATTCAATATAAGGTATACGTCTATCTCTTAGGGAAAATCCCAACGCTGAAATTTCAAATACAAGCGTAAGTCACAAAGGGTTCCAGTTCATATATGCATGAGTTTATTCCAAATCTAATTTCTGAGAACATGTCTGTGATCAGTGGGTGATCACTGACAGGTTCTCTCAGTGTATACGTCTTATTCTTGGTAGCGTGTCCTCAAAAAAATAAAGGTCCAATCAAGCAGTGAATTCTGGAGACATCTGCTGGACCAGTTAAAGTTAAGGCAAAGAGGTCAACTCAAAAGGCTATAGTGATTATTCTGTGGGGGGACCTCAAAGGGGTAATCTTGATAGATTTTCTAAAATGACACAGAACAATCATGGGGCTAATCAGACAAAAGCTTTAATAAAACATTTAAATAAAATCTACATCGGTGAGAAAAAGATCAATAAAGTTGATCCCGGGAATTGTTTGCTATCACAACAATGCCTCTTCGTTCTTTGAATGCAGCAAGGGCTGCCCTACAAGAGTTTTGTTAGGAACCCTTCCTTCATCAACCCATCCCCTCCAGTCCAAATCTTGACTCTTTCAAAATTCTTTTTTCCCCCCAAACGCAGAGGATGTAAAATTCACATGATTTGAGTCATATGAAGAAACTGGCATTTTGACATGACATAAATAGATGAATAAAGAAATCTTCATGGAAGAGCTAAGAACTGGAAAGACTACTTTTAGATGTGTATAAACCTAGAGTGAGTGAGTATATGTCAAGAAAAGCTTCAAATTTTGATTAATAAAGTTCTTGTGATATTATAGTAATACTTTTTATTTTACCCTTGTAGTATTTTACTTCATAAAATGTGCTCTTCAGTTAAAATCCCAAAATAAGAGCTCAATTTATCTTTTATATTATTTCACATATGTGAAGACTTATAAAATATAATACAAAACTATACTTTCACCTATTTCCCTAGAAAGACTTAAAAATATATATTGTTTCTGAATTGGTAGGGGAAAAAAATTCAGAATTTTTCCAAGGTGAAATCTTACCCTTGACCCTGACACTGCCATGTCTAATTCAGTGCTGACAGCAACACTCAGTACTTCCCCGGTGTGCCCATAGAGGATCTGGAAGGGCTTCGATGCTAAGCCCACAGGAACTCCTCCCTAATATTAAAAACAGAAAAGTAAAAGTAAAGATGAGGTTTACACTGTACTTAAACTTTCTAATCACAAGCTTACACTGCAGTATGTTCTTAGTCACTGAATTATTTATAATATTTATTCTGTGGTTTCTTCTTGCATTCCTAAATGATTCTTAATCTTCTGAAGCTGAGAAGTTAGCCTGAGTGGTGTTGATGATGAGTGTCTTCATTACCTTTTCTAGGTGTGTTACTTTGATCTATAGTTTTGCTTTGTCTTCACTTCAAAGAACTTATGTATTGTCTCTGGATGCTTTTCTTAGTGTTGGGGTCCTATCAAGGATATCAATTATGTTGATGCTGACTGGTATTTGATTTCTTTTAACATTCTCTGAATGTTTATAATCTTTTTATCTTTTTCATTTGTCTTTACTCAGATCACTTTAAATCTTTTCCAAGCCATTAATCTGATTTTCGGTTGCATCAAACCTATTCCTTGCCATTTTTGTTTAGGATTCATTATATTTATAATTGTATGGACTTTAGACTCAATTTGAATCTTCTAAAACCTCTTTTCACATTACTATGCTATTTTATCAAGAGTCCAGAGTGGTACAAACAGCTAAGTACTCAGCTACTAGGTGAAAATTTGACAATTCAACTCCAGTCGGAAACCCCTTGGGAGACAGGCTGGCAATCTGCTTTGTGGAGTTCTACAGAGCTGATCTACTCTGTACACCCAGGGTTTCTATGATTTGGAATCAATTTTATGACAATTACCGACAATAGTGCTATCATTTCATTTTGGAGCCCTGTCTTATTAAATTCCTCTATTTATAGTAGCACACTATCACTGGAGGGAATAAGTCTCTGTCCTTGAGTTGTTTTCTTCCAGAAGAACACTGTTCATTTGTCTTTAGTTTTGTTTGTATATCCGCCCCCCCACCCCCAGCCAGTTTTGTATATATGATTTTCTTTGCTTTAAAATGTTAGAATAGTTGCCTCAGTATATGATTTATTCCTGGCTACCCTGGACAATTCGGTCCAGGGTTTTTATCTGCTCTATAGGATGTGGAGGGATTTTCTTTGACTCCTTACTACCCAGGGCACATCTGGTTTCCTTTCAGTCTCAGTGCTTAGTGAGCTAATAGGAGATAAAATGAATCAGAGACCAAATCTCAAAAAAAAAAAAAAAAATGCGGTGATCAGAATAAGCAAAGTTCAAACAGCCATTCAGAATTTGCCAGAGAAAAATGTACCAGCCTATAAGAACATCTCACCAGTAGTTCCTGGGTGCACCTCTGAACTTAATCAAGTATTTGAATGTGTGACTACCTGCTGTGTTATTTTCCAGATCATGCATGTAGTATCTCTGGAACCAGAAATCAAATGTATTCCACAGTAATCTGTAGCTAAGCAAGTCACAATGTCTGTAAAAAAGAAAATAAAAAAACAAAATGAAATGGCTTGGTTTTGCTGAAACAGAACTTTTAAAACAAATCTTAGTTTATATTAAAATTACTTCTACGTCAGCTGTCTCTAACAGGGAGAAATGTTACGGAAGGCTTAGAAATGAGTTACAAAAGAAAGAAGCACTAATAGCACAAAGAGAGCCTTCTTTGAAATCATTCTGCAGTGGGGATGAGCAGTGGAAGGGCAGAGGGCTGGGGCTGGCAATGACTCAGGGTTTTGGAGAAGGGCTGGTGGGATTGCTAGAAGGATTGATTTTGACATGCCTCTCCACTTTTATTCCTATTCATCTTTTTTTCCCCCATTCATCTTACACCTTCCACTGAGAATTGTAATTTTATAGAATGTATCATTAAGGAAAACAGTATATATTCTAAATATAATGCAAGTTTACATTATTTAAAATACATTCTTCCTGAATTACAAAAAGCTAGGTGGAATCCTAGGAGTCACTGATAAAGACTCAGAAGCAGGCTCCATTTCCCTTCCTTAATAGGCTGTTTCGGAAAAAAATCTACTCAATATTTTACTTTACTGTTGAAGACTGAGCCCCAAGAAGTACTGAGCCGCAAGTTAAACCACATTAAACAAGTTTACCTGTTGTGCTTTACTGCAAATAGAGCAATAGAGCAGTTACTGTTTTATTTAACTACTATAGACTTAGATTTACCAAGATGTTGTCTAAATATTATTTTATCAACCAC